CTCACACCTGTACTCCCAGCACTGTTGGAAGCCGAGGTGGGCAAAGCACTTGAGATCAGGAGTTCAAGATCAGCTTGGCCAACATAGTAAAACCTCATCTCTACTGAAAATACAAAAAATAGCTGTGCGTGGTGGCATGTACCTGTAATCTCAGGTACTTAGAAGGCTGAGGCAGGAGAATCACTTGAACTTGGGAGGCAGAGGTTGCAGTGAGCCAAGATCGTGCCACTCCGTCTCAAAGAAAAAAATAAAATAAAATAAAGTACTTTTTTTCCCCACCAAATTTGTAATTTATCACTTGTACAAGCTAATGTTGAATAATATCTTTGGCATATTTTTAACCAAGGCATTCACAATAAGGTTTCTAAGTCATGTGTACATCTGTGTGTTTTTTAAATTAAATTAAAATTTTGGAGTTGGAGTCTTGCTCTGTCACCTAGGCTAGAGTGCAGCGGCACCATCTTGGCTCACTGCAACCTCTGCCTCCCAAGTTCAAGCGATCCTCCTGCCTCAGCCTCCTGAATAGCTGGGATTACAGGCACCTACCACCAGGCCAGAGCAGTTTTTGTATTTTCAGTAGAAATGGAGTTTTACCATGTTGGCCAGGTTGATCTACAACTCCTGACCTCAGGTGATCCCCATGCCTTGGCCTCCCAAAGTGTTGGGATTATAGGTGTGAGTCACCACACCTGGCCTAAAATTTTATATTATAGCAGTTCAGTAGTACTCCAGCTTCCTGCCAAATCACCACCACTATAGCATAGTACTGTTTCTATTTTATGATTTGGAGAGTAGAGACATGGAAAAATTATGTTTTAAATTTTGTTCGTAGCCACTAAGGCAATACAAAGATACTCTTGGGCACTAGATTGAAAACACTAATTAAAATTGTAGTACAGCAGCTTGTACCATGCATGTATTGGATTTACATATAGTATACATGAAAATCCATAACCACATATTTCAGCATTTTGGTATTTAGTAATTCAACTTAAAGTAATTCAGCATTTTAGTATTTATTAATGAGCAGGCCAGGCGCAGTAGTTCATGCCTGTAATCCCAGCACTTTGGGAGGCCAAGATGGGTGGATCACCTGAGGTCAGGAGTTTAAGAGCAGCCTGGCCAACATGCTGAAACCCTGTCTCTACCAAAAGTACAAAAATTAGCCTGGCGTGGTGGTGCTTTCCTGTAATCCCAGCTAACTGGGAGGCCAAAGCAGGAGAATCACTTGAACCTGGGAGGTGGAGGTTGCAATGAGCTGAGGTCGCACCACTGCACTCCGGCCTGGGCAACAGAGTGAGACTCCATCTGAAAAATAAAATAAAATATAAATAAATAAGACTGTCCTAAATAGGAAATGTTGGTCTTTTAACATAGAATAAGGGGGCTGGGTGTGGTGGCTCACGCCTGTAATCCCAGCACTTTGGGAGGCTGAGGCAGGCGGATCATGAGGTCAAGAGATGGAGCCCAGCCTTGTCAACATGGTGAAACCTTGTCTCTACTAATAATACAAAAAGTAGCCAGGCATGCTCACCTCTACTCAATACATTCCTCTGAACACCTGATTCCTTGTGATTTTCCCGTCCCACTGAAATCTCCAATCCATTAAAAAAAAAAAAGTTACCCAGTCTAAGGCATTTTGTTATAGCAGCTGAAATGGACTAAGGCGCCTTCTTGACACAGTCAGTGATGGCACTGCAGCCCATCCCATCTTTGATTTATTTATTAGTTATGGTTGAAATAATTTTCCTCATTTATAATCATTTATCTGCTTCAAAGCCCAGTCATAAAAAAAAAAAAAAAGGTAGCCAGGCATGGTGGCGGGCACCTGTAATCCCAGCTACTCAGGAAGCTGAGGCAGGAGAATCGCTGAACACAGGAGGCAAAGGTTGCAGTGAGCGAAGATCTCGCCATTACACTCCGGCCTGGGCAACAGAGTGAGACTCCGTCTAAAAAAAAGAAATAGAAAAAAAATAGAATAAGGAATCAAGTAGATTATTTTATTTAATAAATAAGTTTAACATAAACTACAGATGAAAAGGCCTACATAAAGTACTGACGGCATTTAGACTTAATGAACAATTATACTTTTTAAAATTTTATCAATCTTTTCATCTAATCCTAAAACACTTAATAAATAGGAACTCATTATAAGTATACCATCAGTATGATGTAGTTATAAGTAAATAGGTTCATATTTTCAGATGGAGAAGGTGAAGTAAATCCAATAACACAATGTGAGTTATTGATTGGTAGGGACATAGAAACAGAAGGTAGTTTTCCCTGACACCTAAAACTCTGCTTCATTCAAAAGCTTATTGGTGGTTAGAAGTAAATATTCTTTTTTTTTTTTTTTTAAAGAGATGGAGTCTTACTTATGTTGCTTGAGGCCAGGAGTTCAAGACCATCCTTGTTGCTGGTCTCAGCCATGAGACCTCGCAAAGTGAGAGGTTGCTCATTGCAACCTCTGCCTTCTGGGTTCAAGCAATTCTCCTGCCTCAGCCACTTGAGTAGCTGGGATTACAGGCCCATGCCACTACGCCTGGCTAATTTTTGTATTTTTCGTAGAGATGGAGTTTCACCATATCAGCCAGGCTGGTCTCAAACTCCTGACCTCAAGTGACCCACCCACCTCAGCCTCCCAAAGTGCTGGGATTATAGGCTGAGCCATGGCACCCATCCCTCTTAGGCTCTTCTTGACTGTGACAATTTCTCAGACTTTCTTGTTTTTGATGACGTTTATAGAAATGAAAAGTACTTAACTGGTATTTCGTTGACTGCCCTTAATTAGGGTTCGTCTAATGTTTTTCTGATGTTTAGCTAGGGATTATGGGTTTTGGCAGGAAGACTATTGAGGTAAAGTACCATTTTCATCACATCATATCAAGGATACATTATCATCTGGTTGAGGTACTGTATGCCATTTTTTTGTACCCTAAAGTTACTTCTTCCCCCCAGTCGGTTTTCATGCTATACTCTTTGGAAGAAATTTACTATGCACACCCACACTTATGGAGTGAACCATTGTACTTCACCTCCCTGAGGGAGGAGTGTTTACATAAAGTATTTACATTTCCTGCAGAAGAGATTTGTATATGCTCTCCTCATTATTTATTTACTTAATCATTTACTTACATCAGTATTGCCTCATGGATAATTTTTACATATGTATGTGTGCACGTGCGCAAATATATATTCGATGTGCTTTCTTTGCTCAATAATATGTTGTGGACAACTTTCAAAGTCAATAGAGATGATCTTCATAACTTTTAGAGATTATAAAGGATGTATTTAATCAGCCCTCTACCAAGGTACATTATACTTCCAAATTTTCCTTATTTCCAACATTACTAGGTTAACATCTTCATATATTCATTTTTGTGCACTTGTGGTGCCTATTCCTTAGTTTACTATTTTACCCTCATTTGCAAGCCATATTTCACTTGAGCTATGTTCCCCATCCCGCAAGCAAGCATCCTTGCTTTCCTTAGTTTATGCTATTTTCTCTACCTGGAATGCTCTTTTCCCGTCTTCACCTACTGAAGTCGCCCGTATGAATCAGTTTTGGAGAGAATTTAAGGGACTACGTCACTCTCTTTTTTGTGCATGTATTAAAACACATTGTCCGAGCCTCCTAGTCTCTCCCAGGACTCTTTTTCCTATCAGTTTATGAACTGATAGAGGCAGAAATATGATCAATTGCACTCATCTCTGTACTCTATCACAGTGGTGGGCACATCAAGTAACTAGCATATTTTGACTTTGATTGAAGTGAAGAATCCGAATAACAGAAATTAAGAAGCGTCCTCAATATGCATAGTAGATTACTCTTCCTTTCTTTTACATAAGATGGCACTCCATACTTCACGGAGACAAAGGAGTTGAATACAGGTTTTAGTTTTTGTTTTAAGTGAAAACGACTGTGTTGTAGTTGAAAAGTAATGCTTTCTAGCTGTCTGTTAGAAATGTTTGTTGGTTGAAGACTTTGAAATTGCAGCAAAGACTGAAAATAAGCATCTTCGGTGGGTCAAATATTCATAAGGAAATTGTATACGAATGCAGGAGAATGGAACTGAAGTAATAAAATAAGGCCTTTGATCCTTCAGACTTCTTTTTTAAGCAGGCAGGTGGCATAACGAATCTTACATTTTATAATTAGTACTGAGAGGTGAATGCCAAAACGTAAAACAAACACAAAATCGAGACAATGTTAGGGTGACTGTGACGCTATGTGGGTGAGTTGAGGCTTAAGATCCGGTTTGGCTCCTCAAGGCCCACCGCGCCCGCACCTAGGAGACGCGCCCCTTCTGCTCATGCTTTGAGGCGGGGTGACCCACACATCTGTGCCCCTCTCTGAGCAGGAGGCGGCCCCGTCGCAGACGCGCGCGCAGATAGCGTCTGCAGCCAGCACCTGGGGCCGCGCGCCGCGGGGCGCCCCGCCTCCGCTTTCCGAGACCCAATCATCGGGAGGCTGTGGGGGCACATCCCTCTCCCGGCCACGCCCCCAGCCGGCGAGGCTGGGGGTGCTTTTAAGAACCCGCGGCTGGCATTGGGCTCAGTTGGGGGTGCGGGGCTGTCACCGAGAGGATTTGGTGCCGATCCCGGAGGTGCTCGCGCGCGCCAGCTGTCCTCGCGGCCGCCTGCGCGCTGCCCGACCGGCCGCCCGCCCGCCTGGGGCTCCGCAGTCCTCGCCTCGGCCTCGTTAGACCGCTGGGAGCCCCGCAGCTCCGCGGGAACCCGCGGGTAACTCGTGTCCCTAAGCGCTCCTCCAGCACCTGAGGGGGCCGCCTCGGGCCATGGTGCTCTCCCAGGAGGAGCCCGACTCCTCGCGGGGCGCGGGCGAGGAACAGCCGCTCGGCCCCGCACCCACGGGGGCTCCTCCGCCGCCCGGCCCGGGAACCTCGGACAGCCCGGAGGCGGCTGTTGAGAAGGTGGAGGTGGAGTTGGCGGGACCGGCGGGCGTGCAGCCCCGTGAGTCCCCCGATCCCCCAGAGGGCGGCTGGGGCTGGCTGGTGATGCTGGCGGCCATGTGGTGCAACGGGTCGGTGTTCGGCATCCAGAACGCTTGCGGGGTGCTCTTCGTGTCCATGCTGAAGACCTTCGGCTCCAAAGATGATGATAAGATGGTCTTTAAGACAGGTGAGGCGCGGCGCCCGCCGAGGCCAGCCTGGGGGACCCGTATGGGGCCCCAGAGCGCATTCCGCGTGTGAGGTGTGAGCTGTACCCGACCCCGAGTACGTGCGTCGGTGAGTCCTCGTGCCAGAGGGTGCGAGTGGGGGGGTCTGTCGGGATGCTGACAGAGCTTGCCGTTTCTGGGGCTTCGGGGTGCCTGTCTTTATGTGGAATCCAGCTGCAGAGCTGTGTTTGCAAGCAGGTGGCAGAACTTACGTGCCGAGATCGTCCTCCTTTCCCCTCCGCAGAGTAGACGCTAACAGCCCACAGGATCCCTTCCCTTTAGTGTATAAAAACAAACAGAACCCCAGAACCTTCAACCCCAGACGTCACAGTGTCGTTTTTGTGGTCTCTTTCGTGACTATGCCTTTTGTGTAGTTGTACATCTGCCTACTGGGCCGCAGAGGGGTGTGAGTATGTTGGCGGGGCGGGGGGTGGAGTTTGGCGAAATGAAAGAGATTTGTACGAAGGTCACTGGAGTTCCGAAGGGGGCCCTGGAAGAGTCACGGTTCCGTGCCTTCCCTCCGCCCCCGCTTTGCCCACTGTGCTAAATGTAGAAAGTATGGGAGGCAGCCGGATTAGGGACTAGGAAGAGGAAGGTGAGGGGTTGCCTCTTCCCTCTTCCTCTTGTGTTTTTTGACACTTTTAAAACCATACAGTAAATTAGATATAAAAGGTGCAGATTCAGTATTTTCTCCCTGAAGAGCATTATTAAGACTTTTTTGGCTGATTAGGCAAAAACAAGTCTAAGCCCTTCTGCATGACACTTTAACATAAATTATTTCATTTTATCCTGCAAGGTGAGTGCTGTCAATCCCATTTAGGTGAGAAAATATAGCTCAGTGAAAGTGTCTTGGTGGGTAGCAGAATGGCAATAAAACATGTATCAACTGACTTCAAGGGCTAAGTGATTTCCATTACTAAATCAGACTCCTTCCCTGTCATTTGGGGTAACTTTATATGATTAATAGTCTTGTTTTTAACCTTGATTTTCTATTATTTTTAGAGTGAATATTCCTTAGGTCTTTAGTATGTATACACGGAATGGGCAAGACTGTAATAAATTCTAAGGCAAAGGTAATGCTGGGTTGTGTGGAGAGTTTTAAAACCTTATATAAATACTATTATACTATTTGTATCATTCTGCAACTTACTTTTCTTCCATTCCACATCACATTTGTGACTTATCCACATAATACCTCAGTTTGAACTGATAACTCAAATTCTTTCCATTTTAACTTATATGGTTTGCATTGTTTGACTATATTATACTCTATGCATTCTCCCTTTGATAGACATTTAGATTGCTTCCAAATTCATTCTAAACAATGCTGCAATGAATATTGTACACTGCCTCTTTGTGCGAGTGAATATGGTACCATATTTAACCTGGAATTTCTGTTCTTTAAATAGCTATTGAAACTGCTGTGGTATGCAGGTCAATGGGCTAGGTACAAAAAGTGTTAAAAATATAATAACATGTCCTTACGTTTTAAGGAAGGTAATCAATGTGAAGTATAGGAGGGGAGATATGTATATTTAATAAAAAAACAAACATAGTTTGGTGTCTTTTCTATCTAAGTATTGGGAGTCTGAGAGGGAAAAGCCCCCCCCCAAAAGGCAGAATTGACAGAGTTAACATTTAAAGACTAGTTCCAACATTTAGCATAATTCTGGCCTGGGATTACAGATTTTTAATGCAGTCGAGACAACAGCAGTCTTTTGTTTATCATCATTTTTGCAAATTCAGGTAAGTAGGTCCTTTGGTGTTTGCGGTTTTTTTTTTTTTTTTTGAGAGAGAGAGAGAGAGAGAGCAGCTGTGGAGAGAGATCATAGCTTTGCCAGGGATCAGAATTTTGCAGTGTCAAAGCCTCTATTTACTACTTGTCCCCAAAGTTCCAATTGGCTGCAATATCCCAATAGTGGGTAGCTGAAAGTGAGGGAAGGACCTCATTTTTCTTTTGCACTCTTTGAAACTTCATGTTTTCTGTTTTGATTAATATCTTCTATTTACTCAGTTCAGTCTTTGACAACTCTTTCAGTCATGTTTGTGTATGTGTGGGTATGTATCATATAAACAGTTTTACAGGTATGCTAGTTAAACGTGTGAAGATCTTTGTGCTTCTCTGCCTGACTGCTGTATATCTGTATATGGTTGTGCCATTGCACAGGGGTGCCCAACTCAGGGGTAAGTGGGGACTGAAAACCAGTCTGGGTTCTGGGTGCCCTTTGTCTGATTCCCACAAAAGGACCCTATGCACTTGGTAATGGCCCTGTATAACACAGCATCTAGATTGAACAGTGGGTGCTAGGCAATATGTTTATGACTGATAGATGTTAAGGGCTGAGGAAGAAAACAGATTTAAACTTAATGGTGGAAAATATGGTTATAAGGTAGTCTTTAAGCCACTTATTGTTGAGATCTCTCTTTCTTCCCTTGTCCCCCACCTCAGTGCACAGATACACACATAGGTGTTTCATAAAGTCCCTCATCTACCACAGGCACTGTTATTTGAGAATATCTGCTTTGAAGTTTAATTGTTCAGGCTTTTTCATTTTGATAGTCGAATGCTGAGTCATCTGTGATCAAGCATATACAAGCTTCAAATACATGCCAAAAAATATCTGGAATTTGTTTAAGGCTTTTATTTTTCAAAGTTTTGGTCTATTTCCTGTTACCTTACTTACGATTGATAATCCTGGTGTTAGAGTACAGTTAGTTCTGGCTCCTTGTTTGCATTCGCTTTTTTATGGCAAGTGATTACCCTAAGGATATACAGAGAGGTGGTGGTGGAATGGAATCTAGGTCTCCAAATGATGGTGCACATTTCTTGTGTACTTCCCTATGGGTAAATATTTTAGATGCATTCCTGTTTAAATCTCACCGTAATTCTCTGATAGACTTTATTAATATCTTTCTGTTCAGATACGGGAACTCAGGGCTTACAGAGTTTAAGAAGTGGAGCCAGAATTTAACCCCAGGCTTATCTGACTGCAAGAGCTGGGATTTTAATTTTTATTATTTATTTAAAATACAGAATGCTTCGTGAATTTGCATGTCATCCTTGTGCAGGGGTCATGCTAATCTTCTCTGTGCCATTCCAATTTTAGTAAATTGTCATTCAAAGTGCTGCTGAAGCCAGCACCAGGAGCTGAGTTTTAATCATTCATCATATTGCATTGACTAGATAACATTCTGCAAATACGATATTCTTTATGTTGTTAATTAATTTGAGTGTTGGTGATTGGTTGAGTGCTCTACCACACATTCTGGGATTAGAAAGAAGTCTGAAAGATTAGGGTCCCTGTTTCTTGGTCTCACTTTGTGGTGAATAAACAATTGCAAATTATTAATGTCTCAAACTATATTTCTAAAGTGTAGAGAGACTTCCATAGAGGAACAAGATACTGCCGTATGCCATTCAAGCAAAAGTCTGGGGTTTCCTTTGAAGAATCATGCTCTTTTAGATTGAGCCACAGCAGGACAATGTTTCTAGGCAGAACTGAGGAGACTCTTAGGCTCAGTTCTCAGGGCTCTGTTAACTCTTCCTACACAATGGGTAATCTACCCACAATTTCTCAGGAAAGGACCTGAAAAAGTTCATTCACACTAAGGTATAAGTGAGTTTACACATCTTACTGTTAATTCTCTTTCTATAAATGCTTACCAAGTTATCTAACATGCTCTGTTTTGGGCTCTGTGCTAGGCACTGGAGGTAATCACTGAGAGAAAAAGCTACTGTTTCCAAGTAGCTTAGGATCTGTTGTGGGATACAAATTAATAACAGATAAGAATAGAATATTTCCCTGAAGGATTTGCAATATAACAGTACTCAATGTTATTCTAAAAGGCTGAAATTCTAAGGTCATTTCAACAGGTGATGGGGGTGGGGAAGGCATTTGACACCTCTTTCTCTATGGTTGTAAATCTCACTTGGTGAAATTAAGACTTTGGAAAGGGGAAGTAAGCCGACTCCAAGTTGGGCAGTAGAACCAATGAAAAATGCTGATGGCATCACAGCCCCATTATGGTGCCCAGCTGCCGATGACATGGCACTTAGAGGAGTGCCTTACACATCCTGCTGTGTCTGAGGGAGCAAGCTGAGCTTGAGTTGTCTCTTTTTTTGAGACAGAGTTTCTCTGTGTTGCCCAGGCTGGAGTGCCGTGGCACATGACAGCTCATTGCAACCTCCGCCTCCTGGGTTCAAGTGATTCTTCTGCCTAAGCCTCCTAAGGAGCTGGGACTACAGGTACCCACCACCACATCTGGCTAATATTTATATTTTTCATAGAGGCGGGGTTTTATCACGTTGACAGGCTGGTCTCGAACTCCTGACCTCGTGATCCACCCGCCTCGGCCTCTCAAAGTGTTGGAATTACAGGTGTGAGCCGCTGCACCCAGCCAAGTTGTCTCTTTTTAGTTGAATTTTTACCTGTTCACATGTGCATGTTTCTTGCCTAGGTAGAGAGGAATCAGACACTTTGGGGAAGAATTAAAAACAATGCAATTAAGTGGAACACTGTTTTTTTTCCTTAGAAAGTCAATTTTGGCATTTTGAGAGGCTGAGGCAGGTGGATCACCTGAGGTTCAGGAGTTTGAGACCAGCCTGGCCAACATGGTGAAACCTTGTTTCTACTAAAAGTACAAAAAATTAGCTGGGTATGGTTGGGTGTGCCTGAAATCCCAGCTACTCGGGAGGCTGAGGCAGGAAAATCGCTTGAACCTGGGGGGCAGAGGTTGCAGTGAGCTGAGATAGCGCCACTGCACTCCAGCATGGGCAAGAGCAAAACTCTATCTTAAAAAGTGCAACTTTGTTTTAACTCTGCTAGATACTGGAAAACCCATGGAACTAATGAAGAGTTTAGGATTTTTGTTTATTTATTTGTTTTGCTTTGAGATTATGCCATTGCACTCTAGCCTGGCCAACAAGAGAGAAACTTTGTTTCAAAAAAAAAAAAAAAGTGTAAATCAAAACTTTAAAAATCCAGTAGTTTAAAAGTAGATTATCAAAAAGGTCCTGAAAGGGAGGCTCTTTGGCTATAATCTTTAATGCAACTCTACTCTCCCTGAATAGAGACAGATTTCTTTTTAGATGATTACAGTCACAAAATAGGATTTTCAGTAGCATTTAGGGATGAATGAATCTTGCAGTACCTCTCCTTATATCTTGCTAGCCCCTCTGAAACTTCAAGTCAGTTAGTGCTTCCTCAGAATTTGTTCCCCTCACAGCAAGTTTTCATGTTTACAGTTATACTGTTATCTATGTCATACAGTTGTATGTGACACTTAGATTATAGGAAATTTTGGCTGCAGTTCAGAAGTTAACTGCTGTGTTTTGCCTTTATACTAAAGCAATTTTGTTTTGTTTGGTAGGAATTGCAGCCTGCATAACTAGCCATTTCTTTATCTTAGAAAAGTTTTTAGTAATAGTGCTTTGTTGAGCTATTTACAGTGAATGAATAATCTGGTTCGTGATTCTATACATCTTTCACTATAAGAAAAATACCTGATTGTCATTTATACTGGAAGGAGGTAGAAAAGCTAAGAGAACTCAAGGCAATAAACCAATCTAAACTACCTGTTAAAATAAGTGAGAAGATTATAAAAATGGTTCTGGGATTTTGGAATAATAGTGAGTATGGGGTGGGCATTTCCTACTTCATTTCCAGAATGTTCCTTAATTCAATGCAAGACTGAATAGTGTATATAGTGAATTCTAATTAAATACAACAATGTGAGATTGCTATGGTGTTTTTCCATTGAATTTTATCAATAAAATTAACTGCTGAAAGAACCCAATTAGCCAAAACGAAAACCCTAACAAATTTTTTCAGGTGAGATTTTGAGGTATCTTTTAGAATAAATTGTTCTTTGCTCTTGATGTGATTTGCTACATCTTTTTTGTTGCAGTTCCTTGAGGCTCAGTCCCTGGCCATGTACTTACTTCACTTTTCCTGCCCTCTTCCATCCACTGTCTTGGGGCTGTTATTTCCAAATCTCATCTCTGTGAACTTATTTACTATTTCTGGACAGTTCCATTTTAGTACACAGGTACAACATACTAAACTTACATGAA